GCGCGACTACCTGATAGAGACACCCCATACAGCCAGCGCAGACAAGCTACGCGAGATGACAGGCTCAAGCCGAGCACCGTCGACGGACTTTGCTTGCCGATAATCGGCACTTAACGAGCGACAGTCGCGAATCAAAGCCGGCGAAGGAAGCCACGTTGCCGCGCGCATGCCGTACGAATAATTGAAAAGCCGACTGGCTGATTAAACGATACCGAACCGGTATACCAATATAACAGACACAAAGATAACACAACAAAGAAATTTACATCACTTGCGCGTGGGTCCATTCTGCGCATGCACGGCTTTACCGTGGAGGTGACGCGATCGGAGTACTGATATATTATATCTGATAAAAAAAAAATTTTTTTTATATATAAATTTTTTCCGTTTTGTTAGTTATATAGTATGAATAATGATGTCAAAAGCAAGAAATAATGTGCAAGAAATCAATATTTTTGCCCGTCGAAATAAGTTGATTTCCTTTAGCATGTCACTATTCGCATACAAAATATGGATTTCTGAATATACCAAACTTTCCTTTTTTCTATTATCATGCATTAGTAAATAGTTTACATTTTAAATAAAAATAAATCTTATGAAAATTAATTAGGATTTATAGTTATTTATTTATTTATCATGAACTCCTCCTCGAAAGAGAAGGTCTTCGATATTTTCATTTTATTAATCCATGTCTTACTGAACGCGTGTGGTGGTATTTGAGAAAACTCTCTCTCTCTAATTTACATTGACGTATTTTGAGAAAAAAAATTCACATTCCTTCTTCCTTCAAATGTGGCATCAATGAGGGATCAGTTAAAGGCTTCTTTGAAATAAATAATAAAATCAATTATGAAAACTGCAATATAATGCGCGTGTTTTCGATTATGCAGGCTTCACACTCGCACAATTTACGTTTACGGTAATGTTTATGACGCGTATGCAAACTTCATGTTTGTTCTAAAATTAACTTCTTTTAATAGTTGCGTATTCATATTGATAGATAATATTCTCACAAGCAAAGGCAGTAACACGAAATTCACGAGGAACTCACAAACATATTGCACCTTTCACGCCTGCGTGACAGCGCGATGCGGACTATTACGCAACGATACCATATCAGAGCCGTACCTATCGTTAGATACAAGCAGTAGCCCGGGATCCTGTACAAATTGTATATTTTTACGGAAATTTTATAATTTTAACAATTTAAACAAAATATTCAACATACATCATTGCAACAAATAAATATAAAATTGTTTATTTAAATGTCATTGATAATTATGTAAAATTAAGCAAAGAAGAAAGAGCAACAAAGAAATATTTATAAATTATATAACATCAGATATTTATATATATATTTATATAAGATTTATAATTCTTATTTTATATATATATATAATACAAATTGAGAAATAGATATATATAAGATATCTATTTAGAAATCAGAATTGTTTATGACATACTATATTACTATTCAATAATAAATATTTTATTATAACCTTTATTAAATTTATTTGTCCGAATTTTTATATGCATAAACTAGAGTTTGACAACTCTAAAAATCTTGCGTCTAAGGTCTCAAGAAAGGTCAATATGATTCTGACACTGATATGAACTTTGCGCATAGAGAAATGGCATGCACGTGATGCACACACTCACGTACGCACATGCGTATACATGTATGTATGCATGCATGCCCGCACGCGGTAACGTTTGCCGTAATATTGTTGTACTTGCGCCGGACGATTCCCGATTATGTTCGGTCGCTCGAGGTCAAGACGATTTATATATAACGTACATATAACGAACGATCAATGATGGACGATCGCGTCTTGCTGGCATCATAATTTAATCATTGATTAACTTATAGTCTCAAGCTTAAAGTTGAAAACTAAATAACATTGGTTATTGCTAAAAGCCAGAAGTTTTAAGTCTCGCTTAAGGGGACTAGGCAATAGTATTTGTCGAAAATGAAGTCTTTTTTGGGGAACTTATTATAACAAAATAAATTAAAATCGAAAATTATCTTTTAACAAAATGTTTATTAGGATTATAAATCGTTAAAAAAAATTTTTTTTAGTTGAAAAAAAATCAACCATCTGTTTTCGACGAACTTTTTTTAAAAAATCGCCCTTTTAATCGCCTGCTTGATTTTTTTCTCAAAAACTAAAATTTGCACAAACTTTTTAGAGGTTCAGTCCGAAATTATATATATTGTGAACATGCTCAATTTTTTTCAAATCGATTTGAGCTTCTGTATGCGAGTTATCACTACAAAACTTATTTAAAAATCTTTTCGATTAGTCATCTGCAGCGTCATTTTTAATGCATATTCGCAAATAAAAACATTTTTTTTATAGTTTATGATCCTAATAAAGATTTTGTTAAAGAACAATTTTCGATTTTAATTAATTTTTTTGTAATAAGTTCTCAAAAAAAGACCACATTTTAAATATTATTGCCTAGTCCCTTTAAAGCCAAAATAATTGTTGCCAGAATAAAAAACTGAGCCAAAATATTTGGTGCAAGCGGGCTTTAGAAATATAAATTTTTACATAATTTTCCTATAACGGGTTTTTTCTCGTTCGAATGCTTATCACGTAAATGCATTTCGGTAGAATTAAACGCATTTATATCTCGCAACGACAAGTCGTTGCAGCTTCCTCTAATGTAAGATAAAAACAAATAATTTCTGCAGTATTCTATTAAAAATTTTGTCGAATTAGGTCTTATTGCTAATAATACTTGTTAACGAATATCTATAAAGATGGCAGAATTTACATCAGCACGAGTATCAGAGAGATCACGAGTTTTTATCGTGATTAATCTATAGAGATAATCTTTTTCATCGAGAGTGAATGACATAAGAAAAGATATGTATACCAAGAAGATTTACAGCTTTATTAAATACAGTCTTTTACATTTCGTAATTATAATAAACTAACACACATCGTCCGCATTATAATCCGAGAATAATGTTTTTATGTTGTTATATATGCGAGATTTGAATGATTGATTTTGATCGAATATGAAAGAGCGAAAGAAATGCATCTCTTTTTATACCACTTTACTTTCTCTCTTTGGTTAATCTTAGATTAGCAAATAGATATTTAAAATGTAATTAATGCCTTATTTCCTAAATGTTGGATTACTTAAACGAAATTATAGATTGCACTTTACATTGAAAAACAATATATATGTAGTTTAAAATGTACAAAATATTACGAAAGATACGAGACTTTTTTGTGCACATAATGAAATATCATTTTTAGATATTTCAATTCAATTTGCGATATAAATATGGTTATCACAAAAAAATTTAGCCAAGAAAACTAAACTTCCTTGAAAAAGAATATAAGAATATGTATTATATAATATATGAGTCTAGCAGAAAAAAATAATGTCATGTTAATCTGATATTTCTTTTTCAAACAAGATTAGTTTTTTTAGCTGAAGTTTTGTGATGTTTGATTCGCAAATTGAATTGCGAATATCGGATAGCGATACTTGATTATGTATTATGTATGTCATTGTGTCTCGTATCTATAATATATTGAATATTTTAAACTATATATAATTATTTTTATCAGCTAATGTTTTGAAAATAATTCTTATTGTTTATAGTTGTTTAGAGAAAATTTTTTCATAAATTATACTAAATTGTATATATATATATATTTTTTTTTTTTCAAGACGTGTTCATAGGAAAATTGTGATTCCATCTCACTTTTAAATAACCGTCAATGTAATTTCATAATCAAAACATAAATATTACAGTAAAGCATTTAACGTACAAAATATAATAAATATAAAACACATCAATGAGTTTTAGAAATGCAATAGATAGATTTCATGATAAGATAGATTTCATGATTTCATCAACTTCGTATCAATTTTATAGTTAGTAGATTTGTTCGTGCGATATTTCGCGCATTATAAACTTGTCGTACAAATAATTACATAATGCAAGATAAGATTATTTAATTAATATAAAAATAAGAGAGGTACAGAATATATGTGAATAGCAAATTGAAGATAAAGCTATCGTATTTTCTGTGTAACAATTGGGTATAGTGGAAAATCAGCTTTTAACGATAATCAAGCATTTTCTGTAGCTATTGTAAAGTTCAAATAGAGGGAGATCTCTAATTTAGTGTTCATGGTCACATACTCACACGCTATCGGATGTGATGATGTAATTGTATTTATATGTGTGCGTATATGTGAACATGCAACTGCGTGTAATAGTTAATAAAAAAATCTAGTTACTGTATATTTTCTAGGATCTCCAATTTTATCGATCAAACATATAATTGCAAAAGAGAAGAGTTTTGTATAATAAATATAAAATAATATTGCATTTTGTTAACAATATAACAATTTTAGAGAATTTAGAAAAACTAAAGAAAATTTGTTAGGTTATATATATATATATATTTACACAACTAAAGTTATCGAAAGATTAAAATAATTTAAACGTATAAATAAAATTATATCAAGACAATGAAATGTTATCTGAAAAAAGATAATTGTGTGTGTACATATTTGAGAAAACAGATACTTGTAAGATGCTTGCGTGATTTTACATATATCGGTACGGGAGCATTTCATAAGCTTTATCTATAAAAAAATAATTATTAACTAAATATATATTTATTCTTCATACCATCATTGTCTATTATCTTGCAAACAGTTCCTATCTATAAATAAAAAAAAGACCAGTCATTAAATATACAAATAATATATATTTACTACTTTTGCTTATTATGAAAAATAAGCTTTTTATGTTTTTCTGTGCTCTTTTTCTATGATAGAGAAACATTAAACTTTTTCAACTTTTCGTGTATCTGATTAAAAATATGAAATAATTAATTTAATTTATATATTTGATATATAGTATAAAAGAGAGGCTATTTCAGTGTGATAAATATATATGTATAAGACGTTTTCTATAAAGGTATGTAAAACTTTAGTTATAATAAATTTAGTTCTTATTATTTTAATCCTTGGAATTTTTCAACTTTATTTTTAACATCGGTCACATTGGCAGCTGATTATGCTAATACTTGACTAAACATATTACTTTATTAATTGGGACACATGAAAATATAATGTTTGATTGATGCGAATAAGAATTATTATAATATACTATATATAAAAAAAAAGAAGTGTGTATATAATATATATACAAAACCGAGTATTTGACTTAGCAACATTTCAATGCGGACATACCTTATGATATTTTCTAATACATAAACTATTCCCCGTATCTTTTTTAATCCTCTGACTATAAAAATAATGCCACAGAAATATAAATTTCACGATATCGCTATTAGTTTATGGCTTGTACGATATAATGATGTTATAGTAGTATTTAGCAGGAACTCTCATGTTCAAAGTTCCTGTCTGTGCTTACGTACCTTACGATAATAGACATTCAGCATCGGATGCTGATAGTTGTTCGCCGCGTATCATGAACGCCGAATACAATTAGACTCGCGAACGTACTTAGCCCAAGTACGAGAAGGTGTAAATTGACTGGGGTAATGTTTGCGATTTAGGGTTGTCTGATTCCCATCTATCATGTTTCGATAAGTTTCCTCGTCGTAGACGCAGGAGAGGGTCTTTCTTCGCTTTACGGAGCCAGTTTCAAAATTTGTAAGTTGACTGCCAACGAGTACGTGAAGATCACCTTTTTCTTGCACGGCCCAATTCCATGTCTCCGCGATAGAGCAATTGCAAATAAACGGATTTCCCATAAGATTGATCGAGAGTAAACGTGGATTCGACTCGAATACCTTTGGATTGATCGTGCGCAATTTGTTATTACTGAGGTCTATGTGTTCTAATGCGTGCAGTTTTTTCAGACAGCTCAGATTTTCCACACCAGAAATAATATTTCCCGAAAGATTCAATTGGGTGAGATTATTCGTCGTAGTAAATATGTCCTCATTCAAATGCGAGATACCGCAGTTGCTGAGATCTAAAATCTCTACATTAGATAGCTGTGTTGGAAGCAGCGAGCCTTCGTCGGGTACGATGAGCGGATTGCCGCTGAGTTTGACTTCTATTATGTTCGTCGACTGATGATCACCGAAGATTTTTGGATCAAGAGGTATCTTGAGGTCGCAGTTGTTGAGTTCTAGACTTTCCAAACGCGTTAGATTCGCGAACAATCCTTCTTCTAAAGTATGAAGTTCGTTTCCCGAAAGAATTAACCGCTTCAGAAAAGTCATTTGTGCGAAAGTATTATTGCCGACATGACCAAGATCGCAATAAGATATATCTAAATATTCCAAGGATGTTAACGGATTGAGAAGACTGACGAATGCGTCGGATAGCGGATTATGGGAGATATCTAGTTCCTCGAGATGTTCGAACACATCGAAGGTGTCTGGTAATCTTCGAAGACTACAGTTGCTGAGAGAGAGTTTGTGAAGCTTGGGCAGATGGCGGAGAACGGCAGTTAAATCGCTGGCGAACATTGGATTACCGCTCAGATTGAGTACACGTAGTTTACTTGCGTTTGTGAAAGCTTCCTCGGATAGGCGATCTCGTAAATTGCAATATGATAAATCTAGAGATTGAAGGTTGTGCAGATTGTGTCCGAGCGTATCTTCGACATCTAAGTGCCACAATTCATTATTTGCGAGAATCAATTGACGGAGATACAAATTCTTAGCGAAGGCGTCACCCGGTAAATTCATAATACCGGTTTTACTGATATCTAGATGTTCCAGGCGCACCAACGGCGTGAGAACGTTCCTCCAATTTAATGTCTTCAATTGATTGTCTGCTATTTCTAAATGTCGCAAATTTTCCAAGTGCGAAAACGCCTCGGGAGATATGTAGGTTAAATTGCATCCATTCAACGTGAGATATTCCAAATTCGTTAGATGATCAAAGGGACCTGGTTCTATTCTTTGCAGAGGATTGTGCGACAAATTGAGTTTATTCAAATTTGTTATGTTGTGGAAGAAGCCTCTGTTAAGATGATGGATACCGCATGAATTTAGATCGAGGTACAGCAACGTGCGGCAATTCAAGAAATGTCTTTCAACCTCCTCCAAAGGATTATGTTGAAGCTCCAACGTAATTAGACCCGGACTGTCCCTGTTGAATTAATTATGTCATTATTAATCAAATCATCTCTGTTTAAAAATACGATTATTAGCGAAAGTATGATTAATATCGAATTGTCTTACCGAAACGCTTCAGAATCTACACGTGTAATGGCGTTGTACGAGAAATCTGCATCCAACAGATACGTTAATCCGGCGAAGGATTCGTACGTCAACTCAGTTAGCTTGTTATGTGCCATCTGGAGGCGCCTTAATTTGATTGAGCTTGGAAACGGGTCGATGTTTGCAATATTATTATCATTCATGTCTAAAATATAGACATTATCGCTAAGCTCGTTGTATGGGATAGTCGTAAGATTACTATCCGAACAGTCCGTCACCCAGTTGATGCGAAAGTAGTGACAATGGCAATCTACGGGGCATTCTTGCTCCAGCAGTTCCTCGTTGAGGGCAAACGCAGTAACAACCAAGTATAGCAGATACAACGCTGTTGTTATTTTTGCCATTGTAATCTATATTAACAGAAAAAAGATTAAAAGATTAGTTGGATTTTTATATATAAATATTGAAGTAATTCTGCATTTATACAGTGGATTTTTGATATTATGTTTTCTTTTTTCAAGTATTACGGGTCATAAAATAAGATGAAAATTGTGCAAATTAGAAACTTGCACATTGCTTTCTCATCATTTTATTTCGCTCACAAAACTTAAATTCCTTAAAGCAAGCAAGTCTTTCAATTTTGGCTTCCTCATAGAGGAAGATATCTCAAAATTTGCGAAAGTTAGAGCGTGTAAAAACATTTTTCAAAAAATTCAAAATTTTATAAAAAATAAACCCTTTCACCGAATTTAATACCAACCATCTTTTAATGATATTTTATGTAAAAAAATTCTCAAAAATGGCGGAGGTTAGAGGTTGTACAATGTACATTCCGTACATACATACATACATACATATAATACATTTTTTTAAAATATGATTTTTTGACGTTTTGGAACATTCTAAACACATTGGCATAGAAAACTGAAAAAAAAATTTTCTCACGAAAACAAAGCTTCCTCTATGAGGAAGCAAAAAGAAAAAAAAAATTCTTTGATATCTTACATATCATAATCTATATATAGCGATATAAAATATTGCCAAACTATTAGTTATTATAATATATGTATATGAGTTTTGGAGAAATTTATATCCCTTTGAATACATTTATCGATTTGAACATCTGAAATATTCCCTAGTTTCCCAACTTGACATCTCAGATCAAATTAATGCAAATGAGTCAGCCCGGAAGTCGTAGCGAGAGCCGGTAAATTGCGAATACGATCCTATTCATCGCGATGACGAATCACGTTCGACTAACTTTTTACGTTGGCGGAGTGCATTACAAAGAAACGCGTCGACGCGCCTTTGGCCGGTAGACAACTTCTCTACCAAGTCGGAATAGGGCTTTCCGCCAGAATGGTACGTGCACGCTCGGCTGCACCGGCGAAGAGAGCCACCCTTTATTCCCGCGAAATCTCCCGCCTTCGGTCACGAGCGAGCACCATTACAATCGACGTACGCATTCGCCCCTCTTCGAGAAACTGCCAACCACCCCGTGCAATATTTCTCGCCCTCGCCTTTGGCGCCGCGATTCTTTAGTTTTCGGATGTCGTTTCCCCCCTAGGACCTCGTGCGAGAAAACACCGCGTGTCGGGGATAAAGTCATTTGCATTCAGACTCCAGGCGGGATACTAGATGTTTTTTGCGAATGAGTGTCGCTTTTCTTTAACGATTTTGACCGGGGATTTCAGGCAGCGGATCCTACGGGATTCTTCAAGCGGAATTTACGCGATGGTGGAAGCGTTCGTTAAATCAATGGATTCGAATGCGTCGAGAATTTTCTTTATTCTTACCGTGTCTCTCTCTCTCCTTCTCTCTCTCTCCTTCCTCTTATGAATATCATACGCGTTTAATTATTCGATATTGGCCTTTCTGTTTGAATAATTTGAGACCGATGCATTGTTGAACAACTGTATCTAACGCATTGAGTGTTATTATTCTCATTGAGGGTATACTTGCCAAATCAAAATCTTTACCTATCAAATATTTACATCTGAATGAGTAAAGTGGACGTCTTTGGAGAATAATATTATGTTGACGAGAGACGATTATAGAGCATTAAAGCTGTCCTCTGATCATAGAAGCAAAACAATATGATGCAATTAAATTTTATAATAAAAATTTTTATATTGCTTGTGAAACGAAACGTGTGTTTTATAAACACCAATCAATATATGTTATGATTTATTACATCTTTTATTTTTTGCTACTAGTTATCAGCAACTACATTTATATAACCGAATACTATAATAAGATTATCACTCGTATTGGGATAAGATATTTGAGTTAGGTTTCGCGTTATAATATTGTTACGTAATGTAACCATAATTGCATTTATTTAAGAATATTATTTTATTACAATTATTTTATTTTGTGTTATTTTATTTTAGCTCATATTTTAGCTTTATATTTTCACGAGGCATTATTTTTATACATATAATAGAACTTAAACAGTTCAATCTTTTAACAACTTGCAGTATAAATTACGTTCAGATAGTTTTTGTTTAAAAAATTCAGACAGTTTTAATAATAAGATTGTCAAGGTATCAATAAATTTCCGATGTAAAAAGGGTTTTTAGTGATTTTAATCAAATGGAAATAAATTAATAGAAATATTAAATAGTGAAATAAATTAAAAGCAAGGATGATCAAGTAATTATATATTTTTAGCCTTTGTCTTAAAGTGTATCATATACCGTAAAAATCATCTATTTCTTTTAAGGAAAAAGAATACAATTTTATCTAATACTGTTTTTATTGGCCTAAAAGAAGTGGCAAAGAGAAATGGCCTTATATCGTTTTATCGTCGTTTTGAGAGAGCTGAGTTTATTAAATTTCGCGCATCAAAGTCTCTCTATTCTGTGAGTTGTACTAGCCATTGCATAAGACAGAGAATATTTCGTAATATCATTACACAAATTGGCGGATGTTCTGTAAAGACGATACCTGCATAAATGGATAACTCATGTACTTTATCAGAGAATGTCGAAAAAAATTGCATTATGCGTGCAAACTCCATTTCGCGTATATATTATATATTCTTCGAGGAAATAGAAAAGTGCAAGTATTAATCGTAACGTTTACCGCTTTTGAAAGACCTTCCCACACATAATATAATTAGCGCAATTGTTTAATTTAAAAATGTTTAATGTAGGAACCAAACGTTAACATGTGAAAATACAAAACACAATATATTCGTTTTACATGTCGTTTGGCACGTAGAACAATACAGGAAGTATAGTACAGCTAAATTGTGCCTTTCTTTATGCATTTTCACGTAATATGAAATTGAATTTATTTTACTGCACTAATATGGAGATTTATAATTAATATTATATATGCAAACATATAATATATCATTTAAATTTTTGACAGGAATAACATTATTATGATATTAATCCCAATTCTCTGTATCTTGTAAACATAGTTCATGAATTTAAAAAATTGACTCCGATTTTAAATATGCATTCACCTTTTGTCTAATTATATTGACTGGTTTTGATTATATACAAATTTAATGAATTTAATTGAAACTTTGTTGAATTTATAGATTCGCTTTTTCGACTTTATTGGAAAATTTCAAATTAAATTAATTACATTATTCTAGAGGCAACATTTTTATCATATACTGCAGAATTTTGATATATAATATGAAGATATAACTTTACTCTAATAATTAAAATTTTTTTTAAATATTAGATTAATTTCTCATGTAAAAAATATCTACATATAAGAAACTATTTAACAAAATAATATTTTTTAGTTATCAATAATATATTATATGCATATGGAATATTTGTTTTATTAATAATATGTCAAATTTTGCAATTTTTGCAAATTTTTCAAAGGTTTGAAATATTAATACCGAGTGTTCAGAAATTGTTATTAACAAGAATCCCCGGTAATAGTGCCGCTAAATATTGAAGAAAAAAAATTACATCTCGTGAAAAATGATATACATCTTTCCGAAGAAAAATTCTAATTATACATTACAAAGAAAAAATAAATCGCGATAAGATCATGTATCATATAATCATAATTATGCTTATGCGGCAAGCAAAGTATTAATTTCTGACATATGCGAGTCTCACAGTTTTGTGATATCGATGTGTTATAGACCAAAGTTCCCAGACCACAAAATCGACATTTCGTTTATATTTCTTCAAACTCTGTAACGGCCGTGAAAAACGACTCTGCTACACGAGACTGCTACAAGGTTGCACGAAGTATTCTCATTGTCCGTACATCAAATGCGTGACATCTCGCGTATAGTTTGCATATAGAATGTCTGCTGGGATACTTTTTGTTTTATAGTATTATAATTCTTCGGATTTATATATATATATTCCTATATAAGTCAAAATAAAATAATAATTGTTACAAATATATTATTAAATATATCTACTCCATATCTATCTCCTCAAAAGAGTTAATAATAATTATTTTCATATTATAATTATTACAAGAATACTATACATGTCTATTTGACTTACACTAGGAATAAATTATCTTATATTTATTATAAATTATCTTATTATATTTATTATATAATTATATAATAAATTATTATATAAAGATTATCTACGATATAAAAAAAGTGCTTCGAAATTTTTGACGTTAGTAATATATGTAGCACGTCCCACACTCGCGACGTAATGCTCATTCATCGCCCGCGCACTTCATCGCACTTCACAGGATGGCTATTTCATTAAAGTGCACCGAGGTCTCCGGACCTCGCCGCTCCCGCGACGTGCAACGATGTGCGACGAGGAAGGCGAGTATGATAGTGGGATGTAATCTGTCTTTACCGTCGCGAATATAGAGTTGCGAGCAACCAAATAGCAAGTTATCCGCAAGGGATCATAAAATCTTCTAGATTATAAAAATTTGAAACATGTTTGAATAAATGAAAATGTCCAATAGCTTATAAAAATTAAAACGTCTTTTGTACTTTTCTTCTTTAGATTTTGGGTTTTTTTCATAGTGGTATTTTTCTCTGAAGGTCTTTCTAAAGTATTATGATAGAGATAAAGTAAGATAAGTATTTTTACATTATTTTCTTACTACGTGTATTGTCGCTGAAGTCTTCTTTTATTCTTCAACGCTTTAAGGATGTATGTGTCATATGTCAAAACATTGACAAAAGCATGAAAATTTTGTAGACTGTTCTACTATTTTTTTCTGAGTATCTGTGCAAAATCTAAACACAATTCTCTTAATGGTTTGCAAATTATTTAAGTTTAAAGTTAGTATTGATTCTTATGGAAAGTCGCATATTGTAGCACTTATTGACAAATTTGACAAAAAAGAAATATTGCTAAGGAAATAAAAATTTTCACATATATTAAGAAAAGTCTAATAAATATTTGTGCAAAACTTGATTTAGATCCATTTACTCGTTTAAAAGTTATTTACTAAAAATTGTAGAAAAATATTATCTCTCTCTGTATCTCTTTCTGCAAATTACTCGTTTTTTTTGTTTCTTGCAGTTGAGGTTAGGGGATATTCACGATCAAAAGTTTTTGTCATAAATTAGGAAGAATATTAATTACAAGTATTTTCTTTTACGAAGAGGTTAAAAACCATATTATTTTGTGATACTTTAATTCTTTTTATAATCCGGATTTATTTATTTAATTTTTCAAACAATATAAACGTAAGAAACATATATTCTTTCTTAAATTGTGATAGTTTTTTGCTACTATTGTAGCAAAACATCCTTAAGTGAACGCTTTTTTTTTGACTTCGCGATTGAATTTAATCTACTCCGAGATACGAGACTCTTCACTACGTATTTTGTAACAACAGCACGTAATAAATGTGGTAAGAAAATAAATTGAACACATTCTTCTCTCTTTATCTTCGTTACTTTTTAATTACTATTCGTGTTGAAAAGTAAATTATTTGCTAATTGATTAATTTTTCTCCGACTCAATGTACAACCGTCGTAATACATAAATGGGAACACTTGTAAAAGTATGCGTTTTACGTACCGGAGATATCACGTAGACTTAGAAGACCAACGATACTGACAATGACAACGTGATGAGACGATGATGATCGCAACGGCTCGCGCGCGCACGTCGGTGGACAGAGATAAATTGAGCGGCCGGATTGCCGAGAGCCGCGGTTAAATTAAATCATGTCCGACTGAATTCAGGGTTAAAATCTACCGAGGCGCGCTCTCGTTCCATCCGCGTACTTTGCAGCTCGAATTTTCGCGGTCCGTATTCGTTTTATTTCACTTTTGTCTTTCTCTCTCTTCTTTCCCTCCTTTCAAAAGGAGATCTGATTACCCATCTAATTTGCATTAACTAATATTAATTAGAATTATCGAAGAATTAGCATTATTAAATCGAAAGTTCGTGTTAAGAAATTTAAACACTATATCATGGTTTAAAATACATGGATATTTAAAGATATTGTCTCTTAGTAAATGTTATATTTTTTATCATGATTTTTTAAAAATTAAACAATTATAAATTTTTTACTAGAATATATATTTATTTATTATAATATATTATT